GTACACATTAATGGTCTCGTTTCATCTTCTGTTGCCATAATTGGTGGAAGGACACAAGAGTACTTGAAAAATTATTAAAAGCAAGTAGTTGGTTGGTTCTATTACATTTAATTTTCTTTTAATAATGTTGTTGGAGAATGGACGGCCAAGATTTCTCTACCACTACCATGTTGTCATTCATATTGCAAAATGTGCCAAGGAAATGATTCTTTTAAAGTGTATTTAAGAATATATCAATTTACTGGAAATGTATAATTCTATAATTAGTATTTTTGGTATTAATGATTTAAGAATATAATCAAGGAAAAATTACAGTTTAATTTACTGCATGGAGTTTTGTCCTTTTGAAAATCTAAATCCTGTTATTTTTCTTGATAATTCAATTTTTTTTTTGTTTTTACTTTTATTTGACATAAAATAAAAGTTATTGTTTGATAATATTGTGTGTATATATATATATTTATACACTTTTTCTTCTACATATCTAACAAGCTAATTTAGTAAGAATGTATTTATTAGACTCCAAATGAAAAAAAAAAAAATTGGACTCCAAAACAATAAGCACTACTTTATTGATTACTCAAAACAATCTAGGGGCTACAAGTTTTATTATCTCATAACAAAAATAACTTTTAAAGCGAGAACTACAATATTTTTTAAGAATGTTAAGTATGGTAGAGAAATAAGGTTAAAGATATTGTCTTTAAGGAGAAATTGGTTTTGATCCCTATTATTGCTTCTAATAGTATACAACTTCCAATACTCGTCAATGCTCAAGAAGCAGATATAGAACTAATGCAAGTTAATATTGAACAACTCCCTACTCAAGTTGAAGTGATTGTTCCTAGAGAACAAACTCAACAACCTCAAAAGCCAATGCCAGTAAGAAGATCTACAAGAGAGAGAGGAGAAATATTATTCCGGATGATCATGAGGGATAATTAAAACAAAGAGAGATTCAAAAAGTAATGTGGAAAGATATATGATTTGTCTTGTAGCTAAAAGCTTTACTCAAAAGGAAGGTATTGACTATAAAGAAACTTTCTTTCTAGTCTTATCAAAAGACTCTTTTAAGACAATCATAGCTCTTATTGCACATTTTAATCTTGAGTTACATCAGGTAAATGTTAAAATATTATTTCTCAATAGTGACATTAATGAAACAATCTAAATGATATAACCAGAAAATTTTGTGCCTAGTGACGCAAAGAAAATGGTTAGCAAATTAAGAAAATTCATCTATGAACTCAAATAGACTTTTCGCCACTGATATTATAAATTTCATTAAGTAGTTATTTCATTTGGTTTTGAAATAAATATTATTGAAACTTGTGTGTATCACAAGTTCATTTGGAGCAGGTATATATTCATGATTTTTTATATTGACGACATACTTATTGCTACCAATGATAAGGAAATACTACATGAGACCAAGAAATTTCTATCAAAAAATTTTAAGATGAAAGATCTTAATGATGCTTCTTTTGTTTTAGGAATTTAGATACATTAGGCTTGCTTTTGGGGTATTTTTAGATTATCTCAAACGAGCTATATAGAAAAAATACTTAAAAGATATGGTATGTAAGATTGTAAACTAGGAGATACTCTTGTCATTAAGGGAGATAAATTCCATCTCAATCAGTACCCTAAAAATGACCTTTAAATTAAAGAAATGCAAAAGATTCCCTATTCTTTAGCAATTAGGAGTCTAATATATATTCAGGTTCGCACATGGATATAGCATTCATTATTGGAATGCTAAACAAATATTTAAATAACCTTAGGATAGATTACTAGAAAGTAGTCAAAAGGGTTATGAGATACTTACAGAGAACTAAAAGTTACATGCTCATATACAAGAGGTCAGATTATTTGGAGATCGTTGGGCATTCAGATTCTGACTATACTGGATGTTAAGATAGTAGGAGATCCACTTTAGGTTCATTTATATGTTGGTTGGAGGAGCTATTTCCTAGAAAAGTGCTAAACAAATACTTATACCTTCTTCTACTATGGTAGCTGAATTTGTAGCATGTTATGTGAGGCATTCAACCATGGATTATGTTTCCAAAATTTTATCACTAGGTTGCATATCTTAAGTGCTATTGAAAAACTACTAAAGTTATATTGTGACAATAACTCAGTAATTCTATATTTCAATAACAATAAGAGCTCGACTCAGTCAAAATATATTAATATAAAGTTTTTAGTTGTTAAAGAAAGGGTATAGAGTGGATATATTTCTATAGAGTACATTAAAACAAACTTTATGATTGTGGATCCGCTTATTAAAGGATTAACACTGAGAGTCTTTTATGAGCACACTATTCATATGGATGTTGTATCATTTGAGGATATTATGGTCTAGTGGGAGTTTGTTTGTATGTGTTTTATTGCTCTATTCTATATTATTGATATATTTTAGGTATTTGGATATTTTCTGCAGAAATAAAGTATTTAGTTTGTTTATTCTCTATTTTATTGTGTTAATATTTGATCTCGATAAAGTTTAAAATAGAGCCAATTGGAAATAGCATGCTTGGATAATGTTACATGTAATTTCCATACTACACATCTATGATTGATCTATGTCATTTGATAATATTGATATGTGTGATTACCGGTGAAGTTAGTTATGTTAAATGTGATGAAATTTTTTTTAATCTTATATCAATATGGTCAATGGATGAGATTGTTCGTAATATCTTATATGATAGCAAAATTTTGAGCTCATAAGGTTGTATACATTTGTAAGGCAACATATGTGGCCGAAGTGGAAGATTGTTCGAAAAAATTTCAATATGTGGGCACACTTATGTGATTTAATGTATATTACTATCTTAAAGTATAATTAATTTAATTGGTAGTTTAATAAAGTTGATAATTAATTTTAAGGTATCAAATTATCATGGATTTAATGTGTAAAGACCAAATTATTATTTTTAATTTAATGAAGGGACAAATTAAAAATAACGAAAGCATGTATCTTTTCATGTGTTTTTTTAAGGAGTTATAGTCCCAAATTTAAACAATCAAGAGGTTTTTCTTTCTCCCTTTAACAGAAAAACTTATAGATTCTAAGATTGTTTTAAATTAGAAGAAACAAACCCTAACCATCAAGAACAGTCAATTCCACAATGGATCAAGATATATTTCAGCTAATTTTTTTTTTCTTTTGTTCTTATTGAATTGATATGGAGGGTGATTTGATGTTCTAAGAATTTATTTAAATCCAATAGTTAGTGTTTCCAACAAGCACTACCTGTATTCATGTAGGAGAGGAAAAATAAAGAGGAGAGTGACTAAAGGTAAAGTGATTGAGAGAAAAATAAGTTAAATCTATCTATTGTTTTAAAGTGGAGCTCTGAAAGAAACTCTGTTTGTAGTTTCTTTTTTATGTTATATATATTTTTAAATTTAATAAATTATTAATATATAATACATAATATATATTAATTAAAAGACATTAACAACTATTAAGTTGGGTTCAGTTCTCATAGAAACTGGGATCAAACCAGTTTAGGGAATCAATCTTTTAATTTTTAACTAGTGACCAGGTTAACTAAAAAATTAGTTAAATGAATCACTTTTTCTAACCAATTAAATTTTTAACTAGCTTTTTTTTTGGGATTACTTTGCTCACCCCTAATATTATCACAAACAAAATCGTAGTTGAGGAAGAACATATACATACAACATAAAATATCCAACCTATCTTGGTTCTCCTATCCATGGCCTAGTTTGTTATTTTCACATATTTCCAAAATCTAAGTCATCATGGTCCAATCCTTAAAAGATTTGAGAAGATGAAGATATGTGAATGTGTAGGCTCAGAGCTCGTAGGAAAGAACAACTCTGGTAAGTTCCAACATCAATGGTAGAGGCATAAGACTCGCAACACCATATATATATATGGGATCATACTTGGGAAAGTGTACTTGGTATGTTGTTGAAGATCTGGTGGAAGGGTACTTATAAGTGGCTGGTCCTCCTTAATATGAAAAGACTAATATTAGATCTGTACATCACTCATCTTGTCTCTACACATGCCACCATCCAGTTCCCATCTTCACCAAATTAGTGCCAGGATCTATTGAAAATGGGTCAGCGAAAAATCAAAAGATGAAAATTACGTAAAGATTGTGATTGATTTAAATTAGGGCTAATAATGTATGTTGAAATTAGAAGTTGAAAAAAGACACTATCAAAAGGTGATGATAAGATTTTGGTGAAGAGGAGAGAGTGTGTGCGCCATGAGAGAAGTTGAGGGTAATTAACTAATTAAAGTGTTTAATTAATTATTCTGGATTTGATATTAAATAATTAAGGTAATTATCTTATAATGGGATGAATGATTAGAGTGATCTTAAGTGTATCAAGGGATTATAATTAAAGCCCAAATACTAATTAAAAATGTACTTTAATTAGGGGAAAAAATGATCTAGACTGGACCTAAGTTATAGAGTATAGTTGATTTAGTATTTTGATTAATTTAATCACTATAATTAATAAATATAATGGAAATTAGATTCAAATCATTATAGAATAAATTAAAGGCAGGATTGAAGAAGTGAATTTGAGGTCCTCCTAATTCCAGTCAAAAGTCCAGGTCCCAATTCTATTAAAATAGTTGAGGCCCTCCTAATTAAGATTGCTTTATGTACATAAGATTATATAGATAAACAATGATTATATTTTAATAAGAACGTATTAGTAAAAATATAAATACTATGTCAAATATATACATATATATATATATAGCTATCGTAAAAAAAAATCTTATTGAGATTATAGAAATAGAAATAGAAACATCACACAATTCAAAAGATAATTATGTTTTTTTTTTTAAAAATAAGTTTCGTTATTAAAGCAAAGCCTGTGATTTTGGAACTAATATTAAATTTAAAAGTAAAAATGTAGAAGGCAGTATGGTAGTATATAAATGGCCTTGTACGTGCTCTTTTTCCCCATCATCTCTCTTCTCATCTTCTAACCAAACTTCTTTCAGTTTGCGCCCAATCTTTCCAAGTTCATCACTCTCTTCATAACTACATATATATATATATAATATTGGTGAAGAGTAATGTGGAGGTTGAAGATTGCAGAGGGTGAAAATGAGCCCTACTTGTACAGCACCAACAACTTCGTGGGAAGGCAGACATGGGAGTTTGATCCTAATGCAGGCACCCCTGAAGAGCGACAAGAGGTCGACCAGGCTCGTCAAAATTTTTACAACAATCGATTTTACCGCAAGACCAGTGCTGATCTCCTTTGGTGCACGCAGGTCTACATATATATATAATATTTATTTAAAATCTTAAAAAATTTAATAAATGAATTCATATTCCATTAAAATAAAATAATAAGATAAACCTGCAGGCTTTGAGAGAGAAAAATTTCAAACAAAGAATTCCTCAGGTGAAAGTTGAGAATGGAGAAGAAATCACAGAGGAAACAGTGACAACAACTTTGAGGAGGGCGGTTCATTTTTTCTCAGCCTTGCAAGCAAGCGATGGTCATTGGCCCGCCGAGTGTGCTGGCGGATTGTTTTTTCTCCCACCTTTGGTCACACCTTTTTTTTTAAATTTCTTAATTTGAATAATTAATTACAAAATTATTCTATTTAGTTAAATAATGCATCCAATCAAATTAAACTATAGGAATTAATGGAGAACTTTTTTATTGATATTTTTAAAAAAATTACAGGTAATATGTTTATACATTACTGGGCATCTTGATGTTGTATTTTCTTTTGAACATCGTAAAGAGATTCTTCGTTATATATACAATCATCAGGTATATATATATATATATATATTATATCAATATCTTTTAGTATAAATATTATTCTAAATATATATGTACAACAGAACGATGATGGTGGATGGGGATTACACATAGAAGGGCATAGCATCATGTTCAGCACAGTTCTCAACTACGTATGCATGCGTATTCTTGGAGAAGGAAGAAATGGTGGAGAAGACAATGCATGTAGCAAAGCTCGTACTTGGATTCTTGATCATGGCACTGCAACTCATATACCATCTTGGGGAAAGATTTGGCTTTCGGTAGTAAAATTAATTATAAATAAATTTGTATATATATATATATATATATATATCCATTTTTAATAATTATTATTTATTTGTTGTAGATACTTGGTGTATTTGATTGGAGTGGGTGCAACCCAATGCCACCAGAGTTTTGGCTCTTTCCATCTTTTCTTCCTTTTCATCCAGGTTATATATATATATATATATATTTATTTCTTAAATATACATACTTAGTCTATCAAATATAAATGTAATATGTAAATAATAATTTCCAGCCAAGATGTGGTGTTGTTGTCGTTTAGTATATATGCCCATGTCGTATCTATACGGAAGAAGATTCGTTGGTCTCATAACACCTCTCACTCTAGAGTTGAGACAGGAGCTCTACTTACAGCCTTACCATCAAATTAATTGGAAGAAAGTACGTCATTCATGTGCCAAGGTAAAACTTCTATTAGTATTTTAGATCAATTTTTGTAGATTGAGACTATTTTTTTTTTTCCTATTCGGTAAAAGACAAGCAAGATATGTTATAAATAGAAAACTTATTTATTATGTTTTATTTAGTAACCACATTATTTTTAGGTCAGTTTTTGTATTTTGAGACTAAATTACTGTTTAATTTGATGAAAGTAAATTAAATTAAACATTATTTTTTATTTGGTTTAGTGAAAGCAAAGTATTTTCTGGTCAATTTTTGTATTCTCTTATTAAGTTTCACCTTAATTTAGTTAAGAGTAAGATCGTACTCTTATTAGATATTATTATTCGTATAATTACGAATGCAGGAAGATGTATATTATTCTCGTCCTTTATTACAAAACTTGATTTGGGACACACTATACCTTTTTGGCGAGCCTTTTCTTACTAGTTGGCCTCTAAACAAGCTAGTGAGAGAGAAAGCTCTTCAAGTCACCATGAAACATATTCACTATGAAGACGAAAATAGTCGATACATCACTATCGCCTGCGTTGAAAAGGTTTTATGCATGCTTGCTTGTTGGATTGAAGATCCACTTGGAGATTATTTTAAGAAGCATCTTGCAAGAATCCCTGATTATTTATGGGTAGCTGAGGATGGAATGAAGTTGCAGGTATGTATATATTAAATTTTTAATTTGTGCTACACGGATGATATAATTTAAAAAGTATAAATTTTATTTTATATAAATAAAAATTTTATAAAAATAAATTTTTAATAAAAATATAAATTAAATATAAGAACATTATTTAAAAGAAATTTAAATAGATAACTATTACAAATAATATCACTTTAATTTTATTTTATCTATTATGTATATTATCTGTTTAACTATAAACACATATTAGTACTAGTAATTAGTTAAAATATAATAAAAATATTTCGTTAAATTAGGATTAAATTATATAATAAGTTAAAGATTTGTTATAATCAACTAAAAATATAATTTTTTTAAAAAAATATATATATTATCACATCAATTTTATTTTAAAAAATATTTCAAAAAAATAAAGAAATACTATGAGAGTCTTTTATATATATATAATAGATAATAAATATGCATGTACTTTCAATAATATTTTTGTTAAATATTCATTCACCTTAACAACATAAATATGTATATATGTATGCAGGGCAGTGGGAGCCAAACATGGGATGCTGCTTTCGCTATTCAAGCCTTGCTTGCAAGTAATTTGGCACATGAAATTCCGGATGTAATCAAGAGAGGATATGATTTTATAAAATACTCTCAGGTCTAACATTGACTCAAACAACTATATATATATATATTTATATTTGTAGTGAATGTTTCAGGTTGTTATCAAAATACTTACTTAGAATTAAAATTTTGAAGGTGAAAGAAAATCCTTCGAGCGATTTTAAAAGTATGCATCGTCATATTTCTAAAGGATCCTGGACATTTTCTGATCAAGATCATGGTTGGCAAGTTTCTGATTGCACTTCAGAGGCTTTAACGGTGAGCTACTAATTTCTCATCATCACCATTTCAGCACTTCAAATATTTTAATATCCAGTAAAATAATTGAATATTGAATAGGAATAACATACAAAATCTTGACTTTAGATATACAAATTTTGAACTCATTGGATCCGGGATAATTCATTAAATTTACTTAATTTTTGGCTCGATTGAGTTTCTAGTAAAAACAATCCAAATTATACATGTATACTATACATATATACATCAAAATGTGTATTATATATACTTAAAAGCAAACTTAACAATATATTATCTTGTACACATACATTTAAGTTGAAATATGTATATTCTATATATAACTGAATTTGTTTTGGACGAGTTTTTTATTCTTAATTCAAAACCGACGTTATTCAAATTTAGTTTAAAATTAACTCAATCAGACTTATTTTTAGAAAAAAAAAAAAAAAAAATTATTTAACCAAGTTATTAAGTAACTAAAATTTCAAAAGTTATGTAAAATTAAGGTAGCCATTTATTCCAAGTGTTGAACATAATAATTTGTTTCTTGATTGGATTAAAAAGAGTCTCTAAATACAACCACTTTAACTTTTAGCTTTATATATCATACAAAATAATTATAATGTACAGAATTTACACAGAGCTTTGCTATCAAACATAAACAAT